TAGGCTTCTAGCGTATTCTTTTGCACAAAAAAACTTGAAAATTGCCAGAGTTCTTTCAAAAATAAAAATCAACTTCTTTCTCCAATTTTAGTTATCTTCCCATTTAAAATATAAATGCCTGATAGTGTGCTTTGCCTATAGAGAACTGCACATGCAGAATTCAAGTATCCTTTGGCAGTAACAGATCCAGTTAGTGTCAGTGAAATTGAAAACAAAAATCCATGGCTGAATCACAGAATTTTGAGTGTTTCCCTTAGAAAAACATTTTTCTAAGAGAAAAAGACACTCTTGGAGTGTCTGCTACCAAAATGAAGGAACTTAAATCGCTCACAATCACAAACAGTTACAGTGTTGGGATTATTTTGTACATTATTTTAATTCATTTTTAACAGTTTTCTTTTTCCTTTTTGTGCAGCAGCATAGTTTGACTGCTAAGTATTGCATCAGATTTATTACATTCTTTTGATTAGAATAGACCTGAACTGGATTCTAGAAAACACTTACTTTAACAGCTGAAGCTAAAGCTTGTGTCAACAATGATAAATTTCCTATTGTATACATTCATTATGTTGTCATGGGTGGGAAATATTACATACGGACACAATAAATATTTCCCAGTAAATATATGTTAAATACATCTCAAAAGAACTACTACATTTGATATACTTAGATAACATGCTATTCCTTCATACCATTACAACAGTACTCTTCAGATTAGTTCTCTCAGCTTCAGGTATCAATATAAAATATATCTAATAGATTTTCTTTGCATTTCACTAAAGCACAAGAAACTTAGAATTTAGTATCTCCATCTGACTCTGATTTTAAATGATAGGAAAAGACTGAGCACTGAAAACTCTAGTAGCGAGTATTTTCCTAACATATTGGAATAATGAGCATTCCTTTTTCTGGGATTTCTAGTATTCTCTTGTTTGTTGTACAAACTTTAGTTTAGAGTTCTGTCATTTAATTCAACAGTTTCCAAAGGCCATATACTTTTTTTATTAGTGTAAGCCAAATATTTAAAAAAAAAACAACACTAAAATGTCATAGTTAAAGAAAGACTAGCAATCATGTCATAGGCTATGCACGTGGGCAAGGTAGACTTCTTAGGTGTCAAGGATGATGTCAAACCAGTGGTTGGCACCATTTTTGGGCAGAGTGGCAAAAAATCCACAACCTCAACTTGTAAGATGCTGGCATGGCAGGGACACATGTCGGGGGAGCCACAAGAGGCCCGATCCTTGTTGTAGCAGTGCAGCTCTGGTTTCTTCCCTGCTGTCTGCCCCTGAGATGCGCGTGCCACGGGTTGCCTACCTCTGTCAGACATATTTTAAAACTGAATTTCAGAGCATATGAGAGACATGAAAAACAGCAACTTCACTTGTTGTCCTGCCAATCTTGATTTGAAGTTTAACTTCCTTTTCTGTTACTTCCTTTGGCAAGAGTTTTCAGGTATGTCAGTTAGCCAAAAGAAAGCTTTTCGTTTTCCCATTCTCTTTGAGAATTTTCACCTATTTTCAAACCTCTTCATTTTCTGTTTTAACATTTCTTCCCTTCTCTTGAAAAATGTAGATTGGAAGCCTAGAATATTTTCACTTTTTTGTGATTGGAAGGAATTAAGTCTTTGCCAAAAGCCAGAAATAGCCAAGTTTCTCTTGACCATCTCAGGAGTATAATCCCAAGAAAAATTTCTAAGAGCTGCATCCAAGACAATGCCAATGACTTTTCCACAGGTATTTCAACAACTTGAAAAAGTGAGGGAAGATGTGCTGCTTCCGTCACTCACTGACAGGACTAGCCTTTTTGTTTAGTAAGACTCTCTCTTTTAAAACTAGGTTTGTTTGTTTTTTAAATGTGACTCCTAGGAGTTGGATTTAACAATAAATTTGTGGGCCCAAATGTATTCCCACAGCAGTGGGACAACGTTAGCTGATGTTTGTCAGCACTCTGTTCTGAGCCCCCCACTCAAATGCAGCAGCTTGGGTTTTGTCCCAGTGGTTAGTAAATTGTTCTTCATGACTCAAGATGAGCTGTCCATTTTGGCCACCATCTCATGAAGCTGTTAAATGATGCAGCATGAGTAAAGATTGTTGCAATTTGGTTCTTGCAATCTGACTCCTCATGTAATATTCTAATTTTCTAATAGACGCACAAATCCATTCGGTGAATCTGGAGGCTCAAAATCTGAAACAGAAGGTAAAATAGGATTTTATGAAATACAGAATTTCTTTGATTGAACTACTTGAATGGAATTACTTTCTACAGAATATATATATATATATATATATATA